ATGGATTTGCTTTTTGCCTAACCTATTAGGTGGTATTTTTTTTCCTTTGGTTAGCATTTTGTGTTTGTGACTTTTAAATGCGTAGGTATTTCTTTCAGTAGAGCAATGTACTTACCTAGTTCATTTAGAATATTTCCTAATCTTCTATTCGTAATTCAGATAACGTAAGTTTTTACAAGGAATCTTGTATTTAGAAGTTACAATGGCGAATTCTCGCTAGCTTCCAGGACATAATTATCTTTTCAATTGCAATATCATAATCTTGGTATTCATAATGCAAAAAACGAGTTTTTATGTATTAATGTATCCATTATGATCGATATCGCAGATAAATACCATTCATGTTGATGTTTACAAAGGACCATTTCAAAATTTTAATTAGAAGGATCAAAGAGTGTACTGGTTCGGCAGCAAAAAGGTGGACATGTTTACACAGGGCTCGACGGAGCAAATTTCGTTAGACAGAGATATTAACGAAGTAAAACGATGACCAACATTCAAACAAAGAAAAACCTTTTTAATTGAATTACTATTTATGAACACAACGACTGCAAAATTAAAAGAGCGAGAGCGCCATGGCTCGGAGTTTCCCAAGTATGTAGGTGTTGTTTTTGTTACGTTTTTTTCTTTAAAATCATTCAAGTTTAACGGGCTACTTAGTACTCGCTTTCCTACGTCTTACTCTGGTCACTTTTGTTGGGCCGTGTGTTGTCGTAGCAGTATTGCGGTAGCGAGCGAAAGCATGATTGTGTTTTATAAGTACCCCCTGTTTAAGTAGATATTCGTAGGTACAAATTGTAATGCTCAAATTAATTGCAATAAAGTATTTTAATATTTATTATATTCAATTTACGTATGTAGATGTTTTTATTGTTACGTACTTTAAAATCATTATTAGCTATACGCATCATTAATAATTAGCCAACCATCCTGTTTTCCCAGTACATGTCCTGTTTTTTGGAATGTTCTGGATAGTTTCTAAGGAGAGTCCTTGGTTTTTAAAGCGCGAATTTATTCATTATAATTCAACCCAGGTCAATAGTATTTGAGATCGATCAAACATACATACAAACAATTACGTTGGGGAATATCCTACTACATAATATGAATGAGAATCTTTGTAATGTGTTTCTTGTTAGTTACTCAATCAAGCAAAAACTACTGGACGAATTTGGATCTTTAGTACGCAAATTATCCCGGAAAAATGTTAAGTTTCTGTAAGATTCTCAAAAAGATAAAGACGACTAAGTCGTATGAGGCCGCTTGTTGTTTTATTAAGTACTATGAGGCATTTAAAGTCCTCCAAAGCCTCTCACAAATCCTATTTACCTTTATTTGCGCTGGTAATAAATCTGAGTAAGTAACCACCCTCATTGACACAATGAGCGCATGTAAATCCGCCCGGTATTGCAGCGGCCGATTGTGCCTGGCCCACGGCCAAAGACAACCCTAGGCTAGGGTTACCATCTAACAGGCGTTCACCACATTTGATAGGCATTTTACCGTTTATGGCCAGTTTCATTAATCAAGCTCCAGTAAGAGGTAGGCCTACTAGAGTTTTGTTGCCTAGATATATTTTATTATTAAGACACATTGAGGCTATAATAACCGTCGTTGCTAAGATACGGAACTAGATTAGCTTCACATTTTACTGGAGGTTCATTTATTGAAACTAGCCGTCAGAGAGGCATGCAGCCGGCACTAATCTGAGGCAGGCATTTTTGAATTTCGAGCGTCACTCACGCAGTAATTTTGTGAAAAATCAGGCTTTTTGTGCAGCCTAGACAGGTATCCTCCCTGAAATAGATGGTAACCCTAATCCTGGCACTATACCAATCAGGAGGATTATGTCGTCCCGCCGAGAACCGCAGCATCCTACAGGATCACTTATTATGCCAACTGCTCCGGCTTAATGGCCATTAATGTTGTCGATGATACTACAATGGATAAACTTTAAAAATACCATTCCTATAAGATGAAATACGAAATTTCATTAGTTACCCGAAGTTTCTGACTTTGATGATTCCATTTTAATTTATTGAGTCGTTTTTTTCTATATTAATGCTGTTAATGCTTTTTTTTCTCCAAATACATATTTTTTCATGCTAGCTCCAGAGTAAACACTACTAGGGTAACCGGTAGTAAAAGGAATGCATATTGGTAATGAATGATACAAATGCTCGATTATTAATCATACAAACATTTGCCCCAGTGGGATTCTGAGAGCTCTGATTAAGTGACACCTTGAATATCAGTGTTGCTACTCCACCATGGAGATCTAAAAACAAGTGCTCTACAGAAGATTCATCTTACAAAAAATTACAGTTTAATAATAGGAAATAAACAATAATCGTAAACGTTACCATCCTTTTTGCTTATTTATTTTCTAGTACCAGGTGCTGGCATTCAAGAGAAATATTAAATAAAAAATAAAGTAAAAAGATTCAAACTCAAAGAACGCGGTTGATTTTTGTCTAAATTCGAGAGACGGCATTCTAGAAACGGGCGTAGAATAGTCAACATTTACTTGCTCAGTGTACCTATGTTGTAGTTGAAAGAAGAAAATTCCCAAAATAATGCCGAAAATTCAGTATTTCATTTTCAGTTGCATTGAATCTTGGAGGATGTTCTCTGCAGCTTGAGAAAGTATAATAAATGACTATCTTTCAGTGGTGTTGTTTCTAACGGTAAGTTAGTCCCAGCATCAGGGGTTGGATGTGAGGTAAGGATTGTTAATGTGCTACGGTTATGTTGACATCTATAGTCTATGGCGGCTGCTTACTGTCAAGCTACCAAATGCTTGTTAATCACATACTTTACTTAAAATATAATAACAGCTGGTTATAAATCCTAAGTACCTGTCTATTAGGTAATCACTTGAAAGTCCTGAAATAAGTAATACAAACATTTTAACTATAAATGTGAAGAAAATCCAAAATGGTGCTTACCGTGGACGCGCCTTGCTGGCCAAGCGCCAAGCAGAAACAACAATAGATACTCAAATAGCTCTGCATCACATATGAAACTCCATCGTAGGCATCTACGTAGTTTGAATAAGCAAATACTGAAACTTGCTTGTATTTTTTTTCTTAGTATTATGCACTAACGCGTTGTAAGGGTTTCGTAACTTGAAAGAAATTATCTAGCATTATCTGTGAAGAGAACCTGGCTCCATTGATGTCGAGTCCAATTTAGATGTTCGCGCGCAAACTCTAGACGGGCTATTCGGTGTGCTCGTGTCAATTTGGGTCCATTGGCTGGCTTATGGGGCTTTAAACCACGTTCATTGAGTCGCCTTCTAACGGTCCGAGCACTTACAGCCTCTCCGTGAAAGTCCCTGAGCTGTTCTTGTATCTAAACAGAGTTAAGGCGTCGATTTCGTAAGCTAGTAGTGACAATGTATTGATCTTGTCTCGCCGTTGTCACTCGGTAACGAGGTCCTCCTGTTCGCCGAACGAAGCCGCCAGTCTCCAGGTATCGGTGGTACACTCTTTGAACAGCGGAACGACTTATGTGAAATTGTGAACTCACATATCGCTGATTTAGCCCAGATTGAAGAAGTGCTACAGCTTGCGCGGCTACTTCAGGTGAAGTATCCATAATTTTATAGCCAAAAACGGTTCAAATTATAGAAAAAGGTAAAACTGTACTTCCAGGGCCCAAAAGGTGATACTTGTTTTTTTTTTGTAGATAAGGTCTTTTTAACAGTTTTTTTTTTCTGGCGCTTCGCCGGCCGCTGCCGCGGCACGCTCGCTTTGCTCGCTCGGCTCGCGCGTTATGGTCACAACACTAACCTAACCTAACCTAGTGTGAAGTATCACCACTTGATAAGAAAAGTAAAAAAATTCAATATTTTTTTCTAAAAAACTACCAGTGTGACATTTTTTTTAATGTGGTTAACAGAAACCTTTTTAACAACAAAAATGCGAAATTACAACCAACAAAACTGTGAAGTTTTTACTTTTGGGCCCTGGAAGTACAGTATATCCTAGAAAAATAACTGAACTAAACTTTGGTTTACAACAATTGCGAAAATTCAAACCAAATCGACATTAAATTGCTTCAAAAGCAACTTTCAACAGTCATTATTTTTTTCAAATCAGTGACCAAGCTCGGCTTTTGTTCTTTATTTTAAATTCTAAAATTCAAATTTGGAATAATACATACGGGAAAGACTATGAAATATGCCAGCATTAAAAATGCATAAAAACTTTTTTGTTATATTGTATATTTTTTGTGTATTGGGCTTTTAGGCCCGGGAATGTAAGGTGCCTCGATTCAAGAGTCCGGGAGTGTAGTACGAAAAGTGTAGTTTTTTCGACAGGTATCTAATAAATGTTTGTTAATTTAACGCATTTGAAGCAAATTTTGGTCTTATACTTACTGCTACCACTTACTAAACTCATTTAAAATAAAATATTTGTGATATTCAAATGCATGGTCGGTTATGCGACGCCGTATAGCCATCTCTTTTCCTCGCGGTCCGTACATGCTGTATTGCTAACAGCGCATTCAGAATTGCGCAGAGTCAAAAGATTAAAAATCTATATTCTTCTGCATATAGCAATAAGTCGTAAAATTTTACGAGCTTGCATTTCGAACTGTCAGAAGTCTTTGACGCATGCGTTTTAATTAAGACCTTATTTAATATGCATTAAAGGTAACTTTGAATGTTAAAAAAATGCCTTTTATGGTTTTTGACCATGCGATCATCTTGGGCATCTCCGTGGATTGTATGTACAAGGTACCCTTTGAACACGTTTCGGCCAGGATTTTGTTCGTGTTGTCGTATCTAGGGTATTTAATATCGTTGACCACTAAACGTTAAATCTACACGACTTGTGAACATGTAACGGCCATAAATTCTAATGAAAATAAAAAACATTGAAACTGTATGATCTTTGTATGTTTTGCCTTCATTAGTGTGAACTTATAACAACAACAAAATCTTTTTGTCTCAAAGATACGTTCCAAACCTACGCTCTGAGTGCGTTTTATCCCTGATATTTAATTTTTTTATTAAAACGTGCAGAGCGACCAGGATCTTATGGCACTTAGATGACAGTGACAGGAGGGCGCTGCTAGTAAATAAGTGGTGTAATAAGGATAATTAAGTATGTAAGATCCCCGCACTTAAGGGAACGTTCTAATTTACAATTACTCGTAAAGAGTAATACGAAATATAAAAAGGCTTAGCAACACCTACCTCGATAAATAAAAGGCTTAGACCTTCCTAAAATTAGTTCCGATTTCAGCCACAAGATCTTGGTCTTTATTGACATCTGTTGCACCTGGAGCGTAAGTTTGGAACGTAACTCAACTTTTCGCGGTTTTTCTAAATGTCAGTTTGACAACTTTGAGTTGTCTTAAATTTACATTTTTATTTGTTTATTTGAGGTTTATTTAATGATTTACTCCATTATTCTTAAATTATGATTTAAATGAACCTAACATAAGTTTTATACAGTGACCTTCCGTTATTTACAATGTCTTCTTTACTATCCGCAGAACTTTCAGCTACTTGCAATGCTTTAGGAACTTTTGATAAAAAAACAGGAAAGTATTTGATAGATGAATTTACTCTTAACACAGTTAAGGACTTAATAAGATATCTACGCCGAGATGGAGAAGATCATGAAATCAGGAGACACTTTGGCCAAACAAAAGTCTTACAAACTGATTTGATTCCATTGTTGATAAACCACTGGGAAAATTCAGAGTTATTTGATGTAACATTAAGGTACCAGTTTCGATATAAGCTTAATTTATACAAAACTATTGTAGTAAATATCTCTATCTTATATTTATTTTAATATTGTACTGATATAGAATGTTAAATTTACAAATTCTATTTGTTGTAGGCTTTTAGTTAATTTGACAAACCCAGCACTGTTATTATACAGAGAGGAAGTACCTATAGAAAGAACTGAACGACATAATTACATGCAAATTCTGACACATTTGCAATCATACAAAGAAGAGGCATTTACCAAAGTCGAAACATGGAATGTCTTTGCTAAAACATTGGCTAAAGTGTTGGAAATTGTGAGTACAGAAAAATTTGTCTATAGTATACTTTTAAAAATATATTATGTTATAAATTTTTGCAATACTGTTCATTAGGATTGGACTGAGCGAGATGAAGATACAGGCTTGGTAATCGAAAGGATATTGATACTGATAAGAAATGTATTGCATGTGCCTGCGGATCTTGATAAAGAGAGAAGACCAGAAAATGATGCAAGTGTGCATGATCAAGTGAGTAACTGCATATTGCATTACTTGGATTTTATAGCTCATAGCAATCTGCTATCTCATATATGTACTTTTTAACTAACAATTTATTTTTAAAAGAGAGAAACATCTCTTATTCATCATTATTTCAAAAGTAGTACTTTAAAAAGATCAGCTTGGTGTTTTTTATGATTATTTTTTCTAGTGTTGCTTTAAGATTTATATTATAGGTACTTTGGGCTCTCAATCAAGCTGGAATTCTTGATATAATACTTTACATGTCATCGGAAAATGAGAAGCAGTATTTCATGCATATTTTAGAAATAATTTCACATTTATTAAGAGAGCAAAATCCAAGTAGTCTAGCTGATGCAGCCTTACAAAGAAGTGTGGATGAGAAACTTCGAGATGAACAAGAACTTTTAACAATAAGAATGACTGAAAATAAAAATAGAATTAACAAACTCAAACAATATTCTGGATCAAGGTATTTTGTCACATTTATTATTAAATTAAAAATATATTTCTGTCATGATTTGTAATATTATTTTAATTTATACTTATGCATTAGGCACTCTCGCTTTGGTGGAACTTATGTTGTCCAGAACATGAAATCAATGTCAGACAATGAAATTATTTGCTTAAAGCCCTTAAATAAAATTTCAAACTTAGACTTTAGTGGAAGTAAGAAGTCTAAATATGTGAAACCGAAAAACAGAAGACCTGTTGAAAGTGGTACAATGGAAAGGAGATCAGCGTTTGCTATTAGGTAACAAATATTTTAAAGAATCTTAAAAACAAATCTTGTTTGTATAAAATTTGTTCACAGTTTAATTCTTGCTAAAATAAATTGTTCCAGGTTATTTTTAAAAGAGTTTTGTATTGAATTTTTAAATAGTTCTTACAATCCTTTGATGCATTATGTGAAAGATGTTCTAGTAAGAGCTGGAGCTCAAAAAAATGATGAATCTTACTATCTGTGGGCTGTAAAATTTTTCATGGAATTCAATAGAGGTCATAACTTCCAAGTTGGCCTAGTCAGGTACCAATTTTATGCTTGTAAATAAAATATGTTCATATCTTAGGTAAATATTATATAACTTAAAATAACTTTATTTCTGTCTAATAAAGCTTTTTTTTTTATTTAATATTATTGAGAACTAATTATTCTTGTAAAAATTGGGATGTATAATTATTTTTGTAGGTATAAACAATAATTTAATATTTTCATTTGCTAAATGTAATTAAGTGATACCTAATATGATTTGTTTAATATGATTAATTATTTATATTTCAGTGAAACTATGTCAGTTCCCATGTTTCATTATGTCCAACAACAAATGGAGAAATATTATGACATGATTAAAGTAGAAAAGAAAAAATTTGTCCCATGGGTTCGTCGGCTCCACTTAGCTCTGAGAGCTTACAAAGAACTTTTAAATACATTATTGGCGATGGATAAAAGCACAGATCCAACGGTCAAAGAGTCTGCGAAAGTTTTAAAGAGTAATATATTTTATGTACTTGAATACCGCGAGTTCATATTACATACATTTTTAAACTATGATGACAATAAAATGCCTAGGTGAGTAAAGTATAGAAACATTTCATCATCATCTTAAGTCTATCAATGTCGTTACTGGTGGAGTACAGATATTACATATAGATAAAATAATAGTAAGAATGAGTCTGGACCCATCACACAGGCAATGCGATTTTGATGGTTTTTTTTCAACGAGCTTGAGGCGATAATTTTTTGTCACATATCATATCACTAGCCTTTGTGAGTGTTGCTTGACTTCTTCAATCACCGATCAAACCCGCAAAAAACTTCAGCACCAACGAGCTCTTACAATGACATGCTTACAAAATAATATTTTGCTCAATTATTTATAAAACATGTAGACATTGTGAGACTTATTTATATCAACTGTACAAAACTATTAATCAAATCGTTATACAATTTTGATGGAATTTTTTGATTTGTAGATCATACCTTGTAGACGTATTAGAAATGGTGCATTTATTTCTGAAAATGCTAGAGCATTACTGCAAGAAAACCGGATTAGTCGTTCAGAAAAAAGTTCGAAAGAAAACTAAATCAAAAAGTTCAAAGAGTGAGTAATTTTAACAGATATATTATGTTTCAAAAAAAATATTTTGTAATACTCCATTTCTAAATATGTGAGGACCAGGAAACTCTTCCATAACAACATACACACACTATGTGTATTTCACCTTTCAATTTTCTTAGATAAGGTGATGAATATTTGCTACTTTAATTATAAGAGTTGTTAAATCTTTTTACTTGCTATCTAATAAAAAGTTCATATGCTATAACCAAGGACGTATAAAAAAGGCGGACAGAGTTTCGGCTAAGACAATACTGAGGCACCGTAATGGCGGCGGCTATTGATGAGTGAGTGAATTGTAGGGTTGCTAGGTTTTTACCAATAAAACACAGTAAAAACATGAAAATATTTTGATTGTTCAAAATTTTACTTTTTGCCCGACTGCGGAGGATAAAGCGTATGCATGCATGTATGTATGTATGTCCAATAATTTGGCACGCCCTACAGCCTGAACGTCTTGACGGATTTTGACATGCGAGGTGTCATTTGATTTGTCGTGATTGTGTGAGTGGCACTCGGTATATAAAAATTTCAAAAAATCAAAATAACAGATTTTATGCGCCAAAATGAAACATTTTGAAAAAAAAAGTATAAGTATTTTTATAACCCGTCAAGCGAGGTATCAAAGTGAAGGGTTTTAAAATAATATTTAGAAAATATACAACTCGTGTAATTAAAAATAATGAAATTAAAATGTCGAAAATAAAAAATAATGTACTAAAAAGAAAAAAAACAAGTCCAGTAGTCTAGAATTCTGTTTAATAAGGAACAAAGTTACTTTAACAGTCGAGACTCATTAGAAATTCTAGAATGTATCGAATTTTCTCAATATTGGGTAAATCAACTAAATATAGATGTCCTGGCCTACATTCTCTTTCATATTTCTTAAAATAAACTAACACCCATTGAGTACTGTTTGTAATTGAGGAGTTCCATTGTTTTCCTCCGAAAGTACTCTTCAGATCTCCAGTAAATTAATATGCAGCCATCTCGCTAGTAAACTGATTAAAACAAAAAAAGAATCATCATGAACGGTCCACGAATCTCGGAGATCTGCGCGAACAACAATAAAAAAAACAAATATGACGCATTGCGAACCTCTTTCTTTTCGAAATCGGTTAAAAATTTTAATCAACCTTTTGAGGTAATGCATACGTAATAACACGCCGTCCAGTCGCAGTCCTCCTTTAGTTGTATATAAGTCTTGAGCTTCAAAATGAAGACTAAAAATGACACTACTACTTAATTGTTTGGAAATCATTCATTTTCCAGTCATTTCTCCATACTACATTTTCTTTAGGAAATCTGATAAAAAAGAATAATAAATAATAGATTGAAGTTATTGTCAACCCAATTTCCCATATTTTAGGTAATATGGTTACATGAACATTGGCAACACTGGGCTTTAGACTAATCATTTTGTCCTTAGAATGAAAATTGAATTCGATTTCTAAAAACTGGAAAAAAGTGATTAAATAATTCATTTGCCTATGAAACGTGATTTTTGGATTTTTTTTCTTTCGGTCACTACGGTTTTTACACCATTTTACCACGCAAGACATCTTGTTTAACTTATTTTTATCTCCACGTAACGTGTCGGCTGCTTTGACGTTTGCACGCGTAATGGCTGACTATGGTGTGAATGTGTGTGTGCCGGCTTGTACGTATAGCGACCTGGCCGACTCTGAGCGACACAGTTTGTTGTTTACCGGGACTCTGTCCGCCTTTTTTTATACGTCCATGGCTATAACAATTCAGTAAGTATTACACAAAAGTTTCGGATATTCTCGTAAATTTAATGCTGTTAATGCAGAAGCATTAATGTTCTGTATATAAAATAATTATGCACGCTTATAATGCGATTCCAATAAGAATAGGAAAGCCAATGACCTCAAACTGTCAAATGTTGCTTGAAAAGTACGGTTTGCAAAAAAATCTTGGAACCCTTTTTAGCATTCTGCTAATTCTAGAATAAAAACCACACATTTGTAAACAAACAATAACAAATATTGATAATTAATATTCGTTGTTTTTTTTTCCTTTATTGAGTTTTGGCTATGAATTGTTGATAACCTAAACCGTCAACCAAATGTCACTTTCAGAAACTCAATTTAAAACTTTCGTTTACCTAAAGGATGCATGTTCGTATTTGACCTAGTGATAGTCCATGAATATTCATAACTACTCCCACTGTAATTCAGAGATGAGCAGAATTAAAGAGCTAGATTTTGATTTATGTTTTTTCTCACACAGTTTTAATAAATAAATATTATTAAAACTTGGTTGTTTTTTTTCTCAATCTTAGTAAATATTTTAATAAAAAAAAATCTGATGTTTTTTCTCACTTAATCTTAGTTAGAAGTGTTATTAAATAAAATCTTTTTTTTGCTCACTCTACCTATTTGGTTTGAATTGACAGCTATGAAGTCAAAATATGGCGCCCAGTACTATTCTTAGTTGAATCGCATTATATAGTTAGGGTTACGAAGTCTTTGTTATCAAAGCCTTTTTGAGCTTTAAAAACAAATATTAAAATATTTTATGAATCTAAATATAAAATCGTACTTAGAATCAATAATTTATGTACATAAGGCAATAAAATTGATTGATTGAAATGAAATATACTTTAATCAAATTGAATAATTCAAAGCTCTTTTGAATCGTCCAATATTTTTTCTTACCGCCCATTTAGGACATCTTTATCTCATGAGAAGAATGGGCACAAGAAACTCACCAGCATTTGAAAGAAATAGCAACATCATAAAATCATGTCGCTACCAATACAACGTCCACTCACATTTTGATTGCTGTGTCATGCGAATTGTGAATGTCAAAAAGCTAGGCCATCTTGGATGGCATAGGATTTGAAAATCTACGGCGGGAGACTGTACTGAGAATGAACTAGCAAGAAACCAACAAGGGCTGATTTTTTTCTCCCTGTATTTTAAACAGGGTCATCAAATTGAAAAATGCCTTCAATATGAGATAACTCAAAAATTCACGCTCCATTACAAATGATAATGATATAACAATTATGACTATAAAGTAAAAAAATATAAAAAACTGATTTAAATAAAGTTTAGGAATGCCGTGTCCTACTGTTTAGGCATAAAAGCAACAATACTATCTCAAATATAGGCACGATATCATTCTCAATTTAGAACGGAAGCAAGCAGTAGTTCCTCGGGTGGTACAACGCGAATCATCTGTCTGGGAAGAGGTCCGTCCACAACTGGCGGTGGTACTCAATTCTGGGGTGGAAGAATTTCCGCCGCCTTTCGACGCTGTCTCCGACGTACCTATAGACCAACAAAAGTGAGTATAAATAACATGAACTTTTGTAAATAGCTATAGCGGAGGGATGACGAAACGGGGCAAGGCCAATACTAGCCTATTTCAATTAATTAAGAACGAAAGCAAGCTGTAGTTCCTTAGGTGGCACAACGCGAAGCATCTGTCTGGAAGGAGGTCCTTTGACGCTGTCTTAGACGTACTTACAAATAGACCAACAAAGGTAAGTATTTTCTTTGAACTTTTTTTTTAGGTAGGGAAGCCCAAGACTCACCTATTACAATCTATTTAGAACGGAAGCAAGCTGTAGTTCCTCGGGTGGTGCAACCCGAATCATCTGTCTGGGAAGAGGTCCTTCGACGCTGTCTTCGGGTTACTTACCTATAGACCGACAAAAGTTATTCTTTTTCAATTGCCAATGCAGAAAGATGTGTTAGCTGGCTTCGATCAACAATTCTATAGATAACGGGTTGCTTACAAAATCAAAGTTAAAAACTGTCCGCGTATGTTTATACTTATGCAGCTACATTCGATTCCCAATGAACAAAGAGAAATGTTTTAAAACAGTTTAAGTTGAACCTAATAACATCTATCTCACAAAGGAATAAGGGTACAAATAACAAAATGTTATTTCGCACATACGACCTTTTATCCTATAAAACGAACAAGATAATTTAAACAAATTATATCTGATACTTGGAAAAAAACCATAATGGTGTAAAAAGGAAAATGTGAAATCAACCTTTTGACCCACATAATAAAATATATTATTACCAGTCACTGGCCAGCGAGTAGTTTCGTTTTGTATTAACCGAACTAATTTAAAATAAGATCTCACGCCTCAAGTGAGACTAAATTTACCGAGACGGATTTTACGCGCTGACCCGTTATCTATAGAATTGTTGATCGAAGTTAGCTGGTGAAGGCCAAGGCTCGACTATTATAATCAATTAAGAACGGAAGCAAGCAGTAGTTCCATGGGTGGTACAACGCGAATCATCTGTCTGGGAAGAGATCCGTCCATAACTGGCGGTGGTACTCAGTATTAGGGTGGAAGAATATCCGCCGCCTTTCGACACTGTCTCCTACGTACCTATAGACAAACAAAAGTTAGTAATGAACTTTTTTAATTACCAATTCAAAAAGATGTGTAAGCTGGTAAAGCCCAATACTCGACTATTATAATCAATTTAGAACGGAAGCAAGCAGTAGTGTCTCGGGTGGTACAACGCGAATCATCTGTCTGGAAAGAGACCGTCCATAACTGGCGGTCGTCCCATATGTAGAGGATGTATGGAGGCGGAGGAAACGCCGCAGCATGTCTTTATGGAATGCAGGAGTGTGGCCGACCAACAGACACGACTTCTCCAGTCGCCAGCATCGCTTCCGGAAGCTTGCAGCAGTCTGCCAAGACTGCTTTCCTTCTGGACTAACCTAGGCTGGCTGGAGTATACGGGAATGTTTCAAGACACGCACAATGGTCCAATGATTAGGACTAAGTGCGGAAACCGCCCTGAAAAACTGACTAACTAACTGGCGGTCATACTCAGTACTAGGGTGGAAAAATATCCGCCGCCTTTCGACACTGTCTCCGACGTACCTATCGACCAACAATAGTGAGTAATATTTACGATTTTATAAAATAAACTTGTGTAACATTGCCTCAAAATGTTTCGTCTTTTGGTCGAATGTCGCTTTACAGCACTACGGAATAGATTTACTAAGTTCTAAAAAAAACAGCCCTTATCAACAAGCATCGCTAGTTCGTTGATAGACTGCTCGCCTTCCTCGCGTGCGACCCGGCTTCGATTACCAGCTGATGCAATCTTTTTTTTAATAGCGGAGTTGAACGCATACTCAACGTAGATTTTTTTTTTTTGCAGTATGTATGCTGTGGTAGTACCACACAGTGTAGATACAAGTAATGAATGTGCATAATTTCTTACTTTTTAATGGTTTTGGTTTTATGAAGTCGGTTTTTATCTACTATATAAAAATAAGTCGGGTTTTCCTTCCTGACGCTATAACTCCAGAATGCACGAACCGATTTCCACGGTTTTGCATTCGTTGAAAAGGTCTCGGGCTCCGTGAGGTTTATAGCAAAGAAAATTTTTGAAAAAAATTCTTCTTTTAATCACCAAACGAAATGTTACATAAAACGAAGCCATCTGATGGCGAAACGGAGTTCGCCTGGTTTGCTAGTATTTTATAAAAAAAAAGGTGTCTATAAATCTTTTTATCTTTTTCCCTAAACTATTTTTGGGGCATCTGCAAAAAAATTAACAATAGTACATTACGATACGCGTAACCTAAGTTGCCTATTACTGCACGGCGTGAAGTTAGCGCTAAACGCCGTGCAGTAATAGACAACGTAGGCCACAAGTATCGTATACTATTTTATAGCAAGTGTGACATAAACCCGCCCCAGACGCGGGCAAGAGGGGGGGTTCGGGGGGGCCGGAGGCCCCCCCGAGGGATGCGATTAGTGTTTTGAAAGTAAAATTCATGTATTGCAATCACAAAGAATTGCAAAACAGACTGCAAGTCAAACTCTGAAAAGAAAGAATTCCGGTTCAGATTACTATTTTCAAAGTATATTTCAAAAGGAAAAAATCAAATATCATTACAACAAAATAGAATTTCAATGTATCCATGAACGTTTATTCCTTGATTGGCACAACAAATATTAAACAACGGGAATGAGTTAAGCTCCAAATGACATTTAAATGTGTTTCCTTTTATTTTTTCTACATGAGTGAAGTTGGTCAATTCATTTACACACCGTGCAGAAATAGGCAACTTAGGTCACGGAAAAGCGTGCGTAAAGTGCGGGTTTAGGTCACACTGTGCTATAAATATAAATATGTTCTACATACAGCCAGACAGGCATACTCGAACGACTGCTTCATTGTTCTATAAGTTTACCTTGTCTATAAAGTAGATCGTTTAATACTATATAGAAGCGAAAGTAATTACGACGCACTATCATATTACAAATTATATAGGTAGATACTAAGTAATGGGGGTGCATTATACATCCACTTAATAAATGATAAGGCTAATGTGTGGCGAAAGCATCTCGTGTTTCCGCTGACAAGCTCGAGGGCTAAAAAGCCGGGCCCGGCTGCATGGCATGAGTGCCACCACTGACGGGAGTGACTTGCACTTCAAAACTTACACTCGGTTTTACTTGGAAATTATACTTAAATCATTTTTGACCTGCTAACGTCGCCGAGAAAATAGTAGTCTTTTAGCGAGCCAGCTGCGAAAATAATTTGTAGGCGTAAAACATTATCTCGCTCATCTTTACTTAATGTTATAAAGAAGTTAAGTTTTTGAGTTTGTAGGGGGTAATCTCGGGATATACTGAACCGATTTTAAAAATTCTTTTACCAATAGAAAGCCACTTTGTTAAGCGAGGGCAGGTCGCTAGTTAAGTTAGTATAAAAAGTATTAAATTATGATAGTTTCTTTTTGTTGATTCCAAAATAAGTCATGGACTAAGGACAAGTTTACAACAATTTTACTAAGCAGAGAAATATTTACTGTACATTTAGCACAGCTAAAGCTAAATAACGTATAGATTTTACTCTATAATAATTATTGACTCCCCGTAACAATTTTAATATTTGAGGTCACTTGCATTGTACGCACTGTGCTCATAAAGGTAATACATTCCGGGATTCAAACCTAGGAGCGTTCCGAGCGTTTGGGTAAACCGGTGTCAAATTGCCAAAAGTTTACGAATAAGGGGATGTGCCAACTTTGCTGAACTAATGACACCACTATTTAATTGGTTCAATAGTTATTTAAAAACCACATCGTGGTATGGGTATGTGTTGTTGTTGTAGCTTTATATGTTTTTGTATGACAAATAGCTACTGCGCAGGCTTCCTTGTCTCTGGTCCATGCTCAAAAAGTTTACCGGGATGTACACTTAGATGGCTTTCACAGTGGCCTACAGTCATTCGCTTATTCATTGTGAATCAATCTTCCTAGTTACCAATTCATGATCGTTCGCACTGTGGACCCAAGAATAAAATCATGACAGCGACTATACAGTTAGGACACTGTACAGGCGCCTATCGCAAATCAGCTCTGAGCCCGTGTGCCTCGCCATGGACTTTTTTTTATTACCTTATATTAATGTCTGAAATATGCTTTACTTATTTTCCACCCGCCAGAAGAAGCAAAGCGGAGTTATCCGGACACGGAGTTATTCTCGCCACTCATTTCATCATAAACAGGGCCCCAACGTTAAAAACCAGACAATACTTCTGCAGCGGTCACCCGACACGCACTCTGAGGACTAACATCACCCCAGTGCTGGTTGAAACCGCGGAAACAAAGCTTCAGCAATGAGAAAGTGACGATTTATAAATATTAACAAGTATTTGATAACAAAAATATGTGTGTTACACAATATTGGTTTTGGTTCATGAAACAAATTTACACAAAAATATAAACACGCAGAACTGTGAAGGCTACCAAAGTTGACTAGCAGCTAAAATTGTGCTAGTACGAGGGAGGGATAAACAACATTAAATAAACATTTCTAAGAATCTGGGACGGGAAGCCAAAGGTTACTTTTTCCTACCTTTCTTCTAATTAAGTAACTCGTTATTAATAGCAATACTAAATTTCATTTGAAATGGGCTACTTTTAAAAGTTAAACTGAAAATATTGTTAGAAAATGAAATTAGGGAACGTGGAGCTTGTTAAGAGCGAATGTTGAAGAAAGGGTCTTTAGCAAACATCTGACCCGCTACCTAGAAGAGTACTCTCTGGTTCACGATCGTCAATACGGATTTAGGCTGAATCGATCGACGATCGGTTACCTTCTAGCGTACCTGACACATATCTGGGGTGAAGCTATAAACAAACGGGGAGAGTCTCTGGCTATTAGCCTTGACATCGCCATCTGACGGGATCTGGCACAAAAGCCTTCTGTCCAAGCTTCCTGCATACGGTCTGCCTGCTCAGCTCTGCGCCTGGGTAGCTGACTTCCTGCATAAGCGTAGAATTCGCGTCCTTACAGACGGATGTAGTTCGCAGTTCATGCCGGTGTTCCTCAGGACTCCGTTCTATCCCCCACACTCTTTCTGCTGCATATCAATGATTTGATTCCTCTTGGGAATATTCGTTGCTATGCAGACGATAGTACAGTGCATACTAGATAATTTGGGACACGCAGCGGTTGGACAGGTATAAACCAAGGAGAAACGGGAGAATCTTGTCGCTGAACTCAATCAGGCTTTGGCCCACATTTCCGAATGGGATAACAAGAACTTGGTTGTACAAAATGCAATACTGCGTGGAATATTGCTCGCACCTCTGGGATGGCTCCACTCAGTACTTACTCGATGCCTTGGATAGGTTGCAGCGGCGCGCTGCCAGCATCGTTGGCGATGAAGAGGTAACTAACAAACTCGAGTCTCTACAATTACGCAGCGATGTGGCATCATCAAGCGCATTCTACCGACTATGCCACGGCGAGTGTTCCGAGGAGTTATTCTCCCTTATCCCTCCATCACCTTTTCTTCAGAGGACCACGCGCGCTGGCCTACTTTGCCACCGACTTACTGTGGCTACTATTCCTACACGAACAAAAAAATTTGGTGACTCATTTCTTTGTCGTACTATTCGTAAGCCTGCTCACGTGTTCCCTCCTTCCTACAATCTGGGGTCCTCTAAGAGAGGCGTGAAGAAGCATTTTTGCAGGCCGGCAAGGTAAGGATGGTTGGTGTGGCAGTTTATAACTGCTGTACCAGCTATCTTCGCGTTTGAACTTTATCACTACTTAACATCAGTTGGAGTAGAGCCATTTGCCTACCTGGCTATAAAAAAAAAATAAAAAAATGTATACGTACACCTATATATTTGCCGCATTATAAATTAAAATTTTCCCTGTTTCTCGTGGCACGAACTTTTAGGCCCCCTTTAGTTCTACTTAATTAATTTACTTAATTAGGTATAACTAAAAATAAACTTCATAAAAAATCACTTCATATGAATAAAATCCATAGCAGTGTCAGGGTGCCAATTTACGATTTAGTTATGAAGCGCGTTACTGTGTAGGAGCGATACAAAATAACTGTTGCAACCTTTCCATCTTACTTTGTATGTATGTTGACTTTCGTCTTTCAAATGGGTAGTGGATTTTCATTTTACTTTGTTATTTTCGGCTCCAAAATTACGTTATATTTTGGTACTGTTTCCTTAAGAGCTGCCTGCATGCAACTTTTTATCTACTTTGCCAACAAACACATTTTTGGCACCTCGTAATGTTATGTTATAATACTGTTTTGCATTCCAACAAAACAGTTATTATGTGTGTGAGAAAACACACAGCATGGTCAACCATGTGTGCTTCTTCTTCAAAGAAGAAGCACACAAATTCGCCGGAACACACTAATATATAAAGGCACTTACGTGTATGTTTTCAATATAATTAAAATAATTCTTTCAGCCATCAACAAGGCTGAATGGTACGACGTCTTAGGTCAATGAAGCATCTCGGTGATAGCTGTCACTGTCAATCCATAGTCTTCAGAAATCACCTGCAAGAAACTTGCTCACGATGTGTGTTTTCTCACACACATAATAACGGTTTTGTTGGAATACAAAAAAATATTTATATGGGTTTCTAAAACACACAGCGTGGTTGAAGACCTGTTTGTTATCTGCTGGTGAAAAAAAACAAATGCTATGTGTTAATGAGAATTAATAATAATTTATAAACAAAACACTTTACAAAACATTATTTTTTTATGCAAAAATAATAAAACCATAACAAATTAAGTTGACCAGATAGAGTTTTAATCAAATTTCATATTAACCTTGATTAAAGATAATAAGTTATTAAATTATGTTCAAACGATAAATTAACAAATTGTTGATATCATTATTTAGGCATACTGATACGATGAATATTGAACCCAATACAAATATACATTTTAACAGCTTACCACAAATCAAGCTCTATCTTGGTTTCCATGATTTCATGTTCCACAAAAAATCAGCGGTGACACTCTGTACGTGAGAGTTCCAGCGTCAGTGACCTTGAGCAGGAGTTGAACTTGGAATTTAGACTTGTGCCAATGAATATTTATGCATAGTAAGTTATTAATGTAAACTGATTCAAGGATACTGGGGTAAATAATGAAGGATAGGTTTGATTATATAATCAATTTTTAATCTTTTAATGTAGTTACTATAACAAATTGCTAACTTTTATATGTTTTCTCCTTTTTCGATTCGTTTTATAATTCTTTATTATCTAAATAATAATAAGATTGCGTAGCGTAGTCAATCTGTGCGTGCAATGCAGTGCAACGCTATTATTTTACTATTTCGCTACTGCCATGCCTTCGGTTGAGGCAGTCGGCGACTGCCCTCTCCACGTCCTACGCGCCGCGCAACGCCCCCGCGTACCTCCAGACACCCACACATAGCCGCGGGCGATTTTACGAGCACACATGCTTAAGTGTCGCTTCTTTTCGCGTAGTGTATATATTCTGTGGTACCGGCACGGGTAGTTTCAAGACAAGCAGTAGGCAATCCCATTGTATGACGTCAACCATTCAACATTTGAAACCCCCCACATTACGAATTTCGCCTCTGAGGCTAGGGGCATCTGTGCCGCTCCGGCACGTGTACTTTCTGGTGACGCGGTTGGCAATGCCATTGTACCCCAAGAGAGGTACGGCGCCTAATTGAATGGCTCGGTTAAATCCTTATACTTTACTGTTATTTCTAGGTGAACCAACAAGAGAGTGTCAGCTAGCATAAAGGCATTTTGCGCATTGTGTCAAAAGTGAAACTTGGTTAATCAACCCCCCACCCCCTCCTTTTTTAAAAAGTATTTAATTAGCTTATTTACTTCTATAAGCAGGTTCAAGGACAGACTTTTCCTGACTAACATACCAAATTAGACTTAAGGAGTAGCGTTTCTGCCTATTAGTCAACTGGTCTCTAGCCTGGTTCTGTGACTGAAACCATTCTGCCGCTTTTTGCGGGGGGACGAATATATATGGGACAACACAAATGCAGTCCAACATACTTTCACAAAAAAATAATTGTAATAACGACACTCAAACAAAAAAAAATTACAGCGCTAGATCGGGCATTAATGAAACTCAAGATTTTTTGTTGACAGATCTGACATTTGTACTGGCGAGTCGATTGTTTTGTTGTTGTGTTTTGTCATTTTGTATTTAAAAGTGGTTAAATAGAAATAATATGTTAATTCTACTTCTATGAGAAATTTAACACCATGGTTTTGTAAGTTTAATATTCCAGATATTTTTTATTACGCTGAAGGAAGTCTCTCATTGATAATTATAGGTAAATATATCCATTTCTTTATTTTTTTTGGAATTGAGTATGTTGTTCTCAGATCTGCATTTTATCAACCAAAAATTTGTAATAACCTTTAATTGTGCTCAACCTTTAATGTGGTCAACCAAGAGACTAGAATAGGTTGCAAAGCCTCTTTAATAAGCATTCATTATTTACTATATATAAGAGTAGTACAACCCAGAGTAACAAAGTAGTGACTCAAATACCTTTTCAAGATTTGGACTTGCAAATATCTTTCTGAGATTGCTTATTCTAATCTAGCAGTATTGCGCAAATCTCATATTGAAAGTCGTCGTCAAGAACAAGGGTTTGTTATATCTGTGACTCCCGAGTCAGGTGTGTAAAAACGAGTCATAAAAAGGTTATGTTGTTGTATATATAACAATGTCAGGTATCCCACAACAGTTTTCACTAAATCTGGTAATTTGTTAAATTAATATTTAAATGTCTTTCATAACATTAGTGCCGATAAAGTGGATCATTACGTCAACAGCATTATACCACCTTATAGAAAGTGGAAAAGCAAAAACTCCTTCACCTTCCGAAGATGAAGAAGAGGTTACGTCTATTGCGCCCTGACGAGATACTCGCTCTTCATCCGAAGCAGCGGTATTCGTACTTCGTTGCGCTGTGTATGATCCACTTTGCTTTGATTCCGCTCAAATAAAGTATTAAACTAATCTCCTCGATTACGGAAATAACAACTATGAATAATGGTATCATAAAACTTACCAACTTGGTACTCGAAACTTTTAATTCCACAGTCAAAATAGTTGAAGACTTTTACGACACGGAAAACTCTTTAATTTAATGTAATAATAGATTATTTTTGTCCCATAAATTTTTGCATGTTTTACCGGTAAAATTTGCAAATGCTGTGAATTGACAGTGACCTCTGTCACCGTGATGCTTTATGGACCAAAGACGTCGTACCATTCTGCCTTGTTGATGGGTGAAAGAATTATTTATTTAATTATAATGAAGACATACACGTAAGTCCCCGGGATTCTCCGGGACATACTTATATATAAAGATATATAAGTATGTCCCGGGGAATTTGCGCGCTTCTTCTTCAACCACGCTGTGTGTTTTTGGAACACATACAATAGACGGATTTTGATAATAGATTAATCTGCAGGTTCGCTAACTAAAACCCCTATTATATTAATAATCGAAGACTACGCTCGGATTAGTTACTCCATGATATGTCTCTGTATATTGAATGACAAATGACATTTGAGTGACATGAATAAAACACGGCGTAACTAGTCTATCTTATTCCTTGTTTATTAATAAGGGGGTGAGGGTTTTGGTTTAAATTTTATTAGTTTTGGATTGACCAAAGTTATTATCTTCATACACAAAATAAAAGTTATTGTATCAGGGATCACGGTACCTATTATTTTATAAAATGTTTAACTTTGATCACCGTTTGAATATTTAAACCTTTATAGATAATTTCCAGTTTCAAGAAAAGATAGAAGCAGATTAAACGATCTAAATAGATCATGTTTTTTGAGAATGAAAAAGCCTAACTGAACTGAAATAGACCACAGAAACTTAAAATTTCTGAAATACTTTCTAGAAATGACGGTTCACTTATTCAATTGTGCATAATTTTTGAATACACTATCTTATTTACAGAGAGGATTGCATGAAGAATATTCAGAAACGCATGAGAGAACATAAGTTTGAAGATGCCGTCGGAATGTTTAGAGCAGCAAGGCAAGTAATATTCACAAGATTTTCTCTTCTCTAAACGTAAGCGAACGTAGGTAATAAAAGTAACACCATATTTTTCACTTATAGGGAAGTGTGGCCTGAAGAGGGTATATTCGGCGAAATTGGTATTCAAGCAGACGAAGAGCTCAGCATGTTGGAAACCATATATAATACCGATTTGGGCGTCGAAATGACAGGTATGGAACTTAAAGGCTGTTTCGGTTCTCTTCAAAGTTTCATTTTTAAATATTGCTATTTTCTCTGGTTTCCCTTCAAAACGTATAAATCTTTCGCCTTTTAAAAAAAAATATTGCTATTGAGTTACTAAATTGTATTAATTTACATATCGATTCATATATTAACCTTTTTTTTTCATCGTTTATTAGGTAGATTATCACAAAGCATTATACACGTATTTTTTCTTTAGTCACATAATCAAATCATTACAGAGATATACTTACTGTTTGAAATGTCGCATGACACTACCGTCTTGGTACAATTTCTACTTAGAAATGACGTCACAAGTCCCTACTTCCTAAACTTTGACGTGCTTTATCTTTGTATTTTTTTGATTGATTGACAAAAGAAAAAATAAGTGTTCATTATTATTAGATAATGGCTATAAATAGAATTTCGTTTAATTTACCCCATCATCTATCTCTACTATCGTTAGTATAAATTAATTAACAATGAAACAGACTTTTATTGAAAATATATCCAGCTATCATTAGAATGTAAATAAAAATACCTTTGTCAACAATAAGGTTAAAATTAAATCGCGACCAATATTGTATTGAATTTCTCACTGGATTCAGATATTTACTAAACATAATAAACATTATATAGTTCCAGACACATCTATCGGCCCACTTAGTATTTTATGTTACAACGGTATGTAGCAAAAACATAAATTTATGTTTGAGCAACCATTTTAAAATCACACGTAACATGTAATTAATAACTTTTTTGTTCAATCTAACATTTATTTTTAGATTAATGCCGTCAAAACTTAAAATTCTAGGTGGGTCGCTAAATGTGTCCCGAAGTGTATTACTTTTTCCTATTTATAAACAAATAATAATTGGTGTATTTATTTTACTTACGTAGAAACCGTCGACAGTAATTTGGAGGAAGCTCAAGGAAACTCTGAAAACGATGATGAAGGTTTGTTTCCACAATACAATTGTACGTTAAGCTATTCTCTACATAATAATAACATGTTATTCCATTTTAGAAGAGGAAGATGAAGAAGAAGAAGAAGAAAAGACTTCGGCTATAGTTGAAACTGATTTCGATTTTAATGATTTCGTTAGCAGGTGAGCGTTAGCGTGTCTACTATTGTCGTTTATTTTGTACAATTTTCGATTAATAAAAATCTTTTAATTTTTGTTATTCTTTTGGTATTGTTTCCTAGGTTTTGCAAACCTGAAGTAGTAAGCTCATGCGCGTCGTTACTCGAACAATACGAAAAAAATCTACCGAACACAAACCACTGTATAATGAAGATGCTGCATAGAATAGCTTGGGATTGCAAGATGCCGTCCATGATGTTCCAAGCGTCTTTATTTTTGATTTTCCAAAGAATACTCGACAATCCAATGCCACAGTTCAAAGTGCGTACTTTTTGAATGTAAACCTAATCCGCCTTATTCCAAAACGCGGACTTAAGTTAGTCCTGGTTTAAACTTAATGATGACTTCTCTTTCTACTTTTAAGGAAAAAAAGTGACAGCACCAGTTTTAGTCCAGGCCTAATTTCAGTCTACGTATTGTAATAAGGCGGAATGAATTTGTTTTAAATCATAATATTAATCAATTTTAACAATCTTTCTGTAGGAAATAGAGAAGTTCGCTATATTTATATTTAGAAAATTTACTGAAGTGGCTTCCAGAAACCCCAAAGTGTTCATTGAGTTACTCTTTTGGAAAAGCTCCAAAGATGCAGCTGAAATCGAACTTGGTTATGATTTGTACACAAGTCAAAAGTGAGTACCTACCTAAATTACATTTAAGAAGAGTTTCAAAGTATGTTTGGAAAGACAATAAGGCCATAGCAAACTGTCTGATTACTGTCAATTCCCCGAAGAGTGATCGTTATTTATCCTTATATTATTATATATTATATTAGAAAAATATGAAGACAAGGTCTATAATAACCAGAGCATCAAAATACATCGGTATGTATATCATTCACTACACGGTATATTTAGTATTATAAAAAAACCGTTTTTAACTAAACTATATCAAACGCCTTTTTTTAAAACTGCGGCAACCATATCAAGTAGCAATTTTTCTAAACAAGGTTTTTAAAAAGCTTCAATCAAAAAATTTTTTTGCATACCTTAATTACTTAAATTGGTCTTTGTTATAAAGAAATCGTGTGTTGTGATTCATGTTTATTGTTATTTCGCTGTCAAGTTTGGATAATATATGACATTTCCCCAGCCGGATGGATAGATATGGTTCAACCCCTGCTAACACTATTTTAACGTACTCTTTCAACTATCATCAATCTTTGCTGCGTCACCCCAAAGTTAACCTATGAGAGCCCGCGTCTAATTTAGTCATCATAAATGTTGTACAATATGTAGGTCGCATTACGCAGATTATATCCCGTATACAGAGAAGGACATCGCAAAGGACTCGGATGTGCCTGTGGGAATTTTAATGAAGTTATCACGTCTTTTATATTTCAAGTTTCTTATGAAATCATGAGGAAAATCATACAAAGATAAATTTAAAAAGAAATATTTTACAAAGCAGTCACAAATACATAAACATTATAGAGTATTTGGCAAGTTTTTCTCAATCATCATAATATGTTAATGAACTCCATAAAAATGTTTTTTTTTTAACGAATTTTAGTAAATCGAAACATACGTGGCGACAATAAATCAAAAACTCTTTTTATTTTTTTAGATAAATTAACCATTTTATTTTAAACAACCAGCAAATGATACCTGCTTCATTCTTCAAATTAACAACCTTGTTTATATCGGATTACTGAAACATGAATCATTCGATAATTTCTTTATTATTCTCTGTCACGTGATTATTAAAAAATATCAATAGGGTATTTGACAAGTTATTGAATAATGTTTATGGAGTGGAGAGGAGAGGAGAGATATTCATCATACTGTTGTGAATTTTATTAAAAAAAACTAAATCAAAAATCCAATTTTCAAGTTACCGCGAAAACTGTTTCTGGACAATATGGGCGTCTCTCTGACATGCGACGTCACACGACTGTCATTAAAACGTCAAACCATACAATGTAATGACAATGTATGGCGTCATTTTAGTCTTCACCAATCCCACGGGATTTCGGTCACGTGACCATAGAAAAAAACATGTTTTTTTTAATTATTAATTTTTTGTTCTCAGTATCGTAAAATCGCTACTTATATTCATATTCAATACAGATGCCAAACTTTTGCACTTTATTAATTCATACTGTCAAATAGCCTATTGCATATTGCTTATGGTTTTCGTCTCCTCATTTGTTATGTTGTAATTGTATTCCTATAAAAATATTTTGAAATTTTGTGATATGATAATATTGCTGTTGTCATTTTGATTATTTGAGATTGCCATAATTTCAAGACGGGACATTGGTATAGTTATGTTTAAATTGCCTTGTTTTGTAATGCATGCGGTGGTGACCTTTATTTAAGATAGCATCTAATTATCGCCGCTACTTGTATCTTGTTATCTTGTATTGGTATATGTCTTGTTGGTCGTCCGTAAATAAATAAATAAAATAAATGTCTCTATTCGGTCCGGCTAACCTGTGTATCGGAACTATGATTAATTATTATATACAAGGGATTATAGAAAGTTAGCGATGTACGTACGTATCATAACAGGGACAAGCCCGGCGTGGGCTCGTGGTCTCTCGAGCAGGAGGAGGAGCTCAGGACACTCTACATGGAAAACCAGACCAACCCGGCCACTGATAAAGGTAATTTTTTAAGTATTTAACTGCTAGATGTTTAAATCTAAAGAAAAGTTTACAAGAAAAAAATCCACGCGGACAAGGCAGCAGACGGGACTCGAACCCTTTGCTATCCGGGCGAATGCGCTGACCATTATGCTACCGCGGCTGTCGGCCGTGTCGAATTTATCTAGTCTTAGGCTGCAAGGCAGCGCCATCCCTTCGCATTGTAGGTAACCCAAAATAATATATAATTGTACTCTATTTCAATTTAATTTGTATATATCGCAGAATGATTTGATAAATAAAATTTTCGCGAAAATCCTAAGAATTATTTTCTAGTAATTATTATTATGACAGATCGCTGTAATAAATACATATAAACGGGAATTCCCCTGCTATAAACAAACTGTGTAGTCAGTCAAATTCCGTTCATTCATTCGTCATTCTCGCTCTTTCGCAACACGTCAATCAAAGTAAAAAAAGAGTTATCCATTCCAGCCCATAAAACCCATTTTCTCACAATTAAATCAATCCATATCAAATGAGACCTTCGGTAAACCCAGTCCCTAATTCTAAGTTAAATTTAAGTTTAATTTGAAATTATGCCCAACGATATCTCCATATTTTGAAGGTACTCAAGAAGATTAAACAAAATTCTCAAAGGTATTGAAATTTTAGAACTACAAAGACTCGATCAATAAGTAATTAGTGATAAGTAGACAATTAACTACATTAAGCTATACGTTGCGTTTTGCGTAAGCTAAAAGTGCGTCGTCTTCAACAAAATGTTAATTTCCATTAACAACACGTATTCCGTTTACAAAAATATAAAATAATTTCTCGCACAGTTATGAATAATTATTACTAAAGAAATAATTATCCTGTCTCTTAAATGTAAATTATATTAAGTGATTAATTAAAACGTACAACCAATTATTTCTGCCAGTGCTCTCGATTAACACACATTTAGATGATGATTCTATTTCAATTTGCGTCTAATTTAATTTAAAATATACCTTCTGTCTACTTAAATTATATAACATATAATTTCATTCATACTTTCTTCTTAAGTTTATGATGTAAATTTTAGAATAAGTACCTTTTTGGTTTCTGTGAACAACAGAAACTGGAGACATTTTCCATTTATCCGGCGTATGTAGGTATTCGATTTCAAAGCAATATCACTATTTCATTGCTTTTACAGTAATAGTTCTTTATAAAGACTAGACATTCCTTGATATAATATGAGGACAAGTAATAAAACTACACTTTGAAGACCTATGAATAAATATTTGTATGGATATTATTATTATTATCATAACTAGCTATGCCCCGCGGGGCAAAACCCGCGGTTTATTAGGGATATTTTCCCGCAGTAAAACGTAGACTATGTGTTAATCCAGGGTGTCAAATAACTCCATACCATATTTTATTAAAATCGCTCCAGCCGTTTAGACGTAAAGAAGTAACAAACATACACACTTACACAGTCACAAATTTTCGCCTTGATAATATTAGTATGATGATTTAATAAAATGTTAACTGAAACAAAACTGTTTATTAAACAAAAGTTATTCACATAAATAACGGACAAAATTTTTATTACATACAAAAAAGTTACTTCTAATCCAGATGAAAATAAAAAATATTGCAATCGGCATAGTAATCATGGCACATTTTTACCGAGTTTGGTGAAGAGTTTCTTCTATTTTGGAGTTCAAAAGAAATAAAAGTTATAACTATTATCCACTGAATTATTTCAAAACAAAAATGTTATCTTAGGTCTTCCTTTTCCCAGGCAGGCGGGCCACGTTTTGATGCCCTATCGCACAAATATCTAGTAACCTCACACCACAGAAATAACTGAAATACCACAACTGTATCGCTATTTGTTCATAGACCACGTTTCTTGTCCGCCCAGTCTTCTTTATTTTCTTTATCTAAGGCTAAGAACTCACGGAGCGATTTTCACCCGCGTCCGTCCGCCTCAACACGCGTAGAATGTGTAATTGTAGGAAATGCATAATGGCAAATTTCACGACACGATTCTCGGCCGCTGCATGCTTTTCTTACACCGGGCGGGCTGGATTACGCGTCAGGGTGCGGGTAAAAACCGCGTGAGTTCTTAGCCTAACGCATGTTGCGGTTACCTTAATTGTAAGTCCAGTGCAACTAAAAGCTATTTGATAGTGTTGCTTCTATATTGCATCGAATATATGCTTCAACTTATGTTGGTGGCCCTAACTAATAAATGAATATTATTTTCCGCTAGATGTGATAGATTGGATACTAGAGAATCTAATAGACCAGACACGTACTCGGCGCAGTGTCATCAAAAAACTAAAAGAACTTGGTCTGATATTCAAAGCGCCCACTAAACGGAGCAACCGGGAGATGACACGAGAAAAAGCGCCCAAAGAGTTTAGCGAAGAAGAGGATTGTCTCTTAAAAGAGTTATGGGAACAATTCGGCCAGTCTTCAGGTAAGTATTTATACTTACAAGGATGTTAAAGGGTATTTGAAAGTATTTAAAAGTTTTCTAAACGACTCTAGTTCCTACTACTCTTACACTTCAGCAATATATTTTTTACTTACGCTCCCAGTCTAGAGAGGTACTTATAATAAAAATTCAATAAGGCAATAAATTTACTATAATCTGAATACCCACATGACACTATTTTGAACAGCGTGTAAACGAAATCCGAAGTCTAAATTTTGTACCTAACTTGATTTGTGTTTCCTTGCTTTCCATATAATTTATGTAACACGTCGTTTTTACGGTCGGTAAAGAAATTCCACTTTTACATTTGTACCGAATACCGACATCGACATGCCCGGCGATTTCCAACAAAAAATCCATTTCCGTAAAGTAATTCAACACCTGATGCGAATATTTTCTTCATCGGTGAAAATTTCTCCCATCGGAGCGATTGAGGAATCAAACATTGAACCTTTCCATTTAAGGTTAGCAATATAGTGAGGGTAGCATAGATTGATATAAAATAAGATCATTCTTAAACAAATTTAGGGGAAAAAATATTTACAACATCGCGAAAAACTTCTTTGTAATGAAATGGAAATAACTTTTTACGTTTTATTTTGAAAGAACTCTGAAAAAAAAATTGTTACGAGACATTTAAGCTTGCCTACTTAGTTTTCAAAACAGTTGGAGTAATTGTGAATTCTGTCGAATCGCACGAATCTCCAAAATTCGAACTTATCGGCAGTCATGTTAGGTATCATGCTTAAACTTCACATGGCTCTCGCGTTCTTTAGAGCAGGATAAGAATGTACTGCTGTCACGTCTACATATAGAGAATCTGAACAGCTATGTGAAGTGCTTCCTTTATAACCAAATCAATGGTCCACATTATTGAAAGAAGTTACGAAGACTTATGGCATATAATTTTCAGATCCAATGAGCGTAATAATAGCACGTATGCCGCGTAAACGTCAAAAGCGAAGCTATGTCGACAGAATGCTCGAGTTGGGCATTATAAAAGATAAGAATGAATGCCGTAAAAAGAGGCAAAAGAAATCGAACGCTAAAAGCACTGAAACAGACGACGATAAATCCGACGGTAAGTTACTAAACAACGGTTGCTCTTTGTTTTAACTCCAGAGCTCCGTGGGCTCTTTGCCATTTTAGTGCACGTATCGTATCGTAACAATAACATTTTTAGGACAAAGACATTTCCAAAGCTCCTTACTACTTCCAATTCCATTTACTGAGAAACAATCTAAAACTGTTATTAGTATGCCTGTATAGATCTATGGGTATCTACACATATTAATTATACCGTTCTGGTGTCAACTGTAATACCGGTAGATTAAGTTTGCAATATGAAAGCGAGCTATTAATATTCATTATATTTTTTATCCCTCAGTCCATGATTTTATGAGTAGGTAGGCAGCAAGCAAGAGTCATGCTGACATGGAAGTTAAATTAATATTAATAGGTACGTTTACCATTTTCCTGTCGAAAAGCTTTGACGTTGTGTGTCGACCTTTGAACCTATATCAGCGTAATTATAAACGTTTTCAGTTTATACAACTTTATTGCCTGCTCGCCTTTACCTCTTTCATTAGCGCTCTTTGATTAAAGAGAGCTGTCACCCGCACACACTACTGAGATAAAACTTGTCAGCTGAGCCTGAGCTGTATATCTACCTACAACTTTTGGTACACTGTTTGTGAAAAAGATTTGCTCATTATTATTGAATAGGAACGTTTCTGTATCATTATTTTTTTGAGAAAATTGACACTTGATATCGTGTTTAGGAGCAAAAAAATCTTAACAGTATCTCATTTGGTATAAAATAGTATTTTATCTGACGAGAATAATTAACTTGATTTGATGGTATTTATTCATACTTTAGCATCCTACTTATGCCCAAGCACGTATGTTGACGTATCAAGGATTAATTATATTTATTTAGGAACATATATTAATGTTTGTATACATATGTACTATATTGACTTAATGTTGAGCTCTTATAATATAAAACCCACATGTTCCTTAGCTTGTCAACAACATATAGGAATAAAAAAAAAGATTATTTTTATTTTCTGGTAAGCAATAGGGCCGCTTATTGTATATCTTTCTTATGTGTGTTGTTTAAGTTAATGTTATTTGTGGCCTTTGTTATGTGTAATAAAGCTTATTATTATTTTATTCTTCTCTTTTCAACGGTTAAGTACAACAGGGAATGGTTATGAAAAATGTCAGCTTCTGTTTTTAGTGAGCTCATCCGATTCGGAATCCGATTCTGAAAGCAATGTTAACATGAAAGCTACACCTCCGCCGACTAAAGTCAAAACTACGAAAAAGTCCAAGAACACCAATGAAACCAACAGAAGTAAGAGAAACAGGAAAGTAGAACTTACAGCGAACGAAATAGCTAAGCTATTAGTGAACGCCGTCGATATTGGTAAGTTTATATCGTAGTTACGTAGCGTAGAATATAATGGACCGCAAAAATGTAGAGCATCTTTTAATTTTGTCGAGTTTGTCCAACGATATTATAAACTCTTTTAAGAAAAGAGGCGGGCTATGTTTTTTCCATACAAACGTTCTCGACTGGATTACTCCTTGATTTTTATCAATAAAGAAAAGATGTTCATACATAAAATACTCTTTTTACTTTCTATGCTCCAATGTCTTCTTTTTTTCAATCACTTGTTTTTCAAAGCAACTAAAAGTCCTCAAAAATGCCAAAAAAAAGATATCACCACTAAAGACGTGTAGGGTGGAGATTCAATAAATATTTCCAAAAAAAATAGATTTTTTTGTACGTACTTAGATATATTTTTCGAGAAGGAAATCGTCGAGAACCAAACCTCGAATTTTGCAGTTTTTACTCACAATAATAAGCGGGAGTTGCAGTTGTCCCCATCGCTCGGAATTATATCATGCGAGCAGCAATGCACGACGGCAATAGTATAATAGTTTCAAATACCTATTTTGCAAATGTCTCTCAGCCAATTTGGTGAGTCGTGTGTTTCTTTAAATGAGTTTTCGGGAATGTTTTAATCTGGGCACATCAATCATTTAATAAAAATGGTGTACAACCATTATTTAAGAATAACTTCAATTTGCATTCTATTGGGTTACGGAATCCGGATATTTTTTGTAACAAGTTTCCGCTGTCTGAACTGTGTCAGATGGACGGTTGGATTTTATACAATATGATTATAATAATTGCTGCCACTATAACAAAAAAGTAAAAAATACAAATTATATGGAGCGGCTACCATACTAAAAAACGGAGAATTACGAAATCATTGTATTGTTTTTCGATCTAGTGTTAAATCTTGTTCAACAGTACAAATCCCCTCGGTTGCCTTTCGGTCAGACTTCCCCTTCGTTGGTATTTTAATGTCCCCTACGAAAATAATAGTTCTTGAGAAAATAGTCAAAACCAGCCACAACTTTGGGCCATTTTCTTACTTTTTAGGATTTTGAAATAACAAAAAACGTCCGTTGTAAATTACATACAAAACAAATGAATAACACTCACTATGAGCCAAAATTTTCGATGTCCAGATAAATCTTGCCTATTACTTGTGCCCATCTGATATCGTATTATGCTGACACTTGAAAAGGTGCTGCAATTTCCTATCTTTACGTTTTCATTCGATCAGGTAGGCAATAGTCAACCGGGTGAATAAGTTTTATCGGAGGGACGAGTAACCAGTCTTTGAATGTATACTATTTTCTGATATTGAGCTAAGTTCAGATACGCGCTTTAAAATGTACGCCTATCGTCGCGCGACTTTAAGTACTTAACCTAAATGTTCCTAAGTAGAGCCGCGTAAAAAAACGTATTAATTATAATATAATCTTATTTTTAACTAAGCAAATCTTGTAGATTATGTTTGTTATATGTTATTTATATAACAAACATAATATATATATATATATATAAAACTAGTTTTTACGGGTTAATGCACGAAACTTTATTTATTTATTGACGTTTCGCAGCCTTTTCAGGTCTGCATCGTAAGAATAATTATTCTGTACCCGTAAAAACTAGTTTTATTTAATGAGTGATGTGCGTGAAAGCCTAAGAAACAAATATAATATATATATATAAATACATAAAAATGTATTTATATTTATAAATACTCGTAATAATATAGGTATAATTTTGTAAACAAAGAAGGTTCTGCTTTTAAAGTCTAAAATAAACTTGTATTTTTTGTTTGACGCATTTTTACAACGGGAAGTTGCTTGCTATACTAATAAGTGAAATGGACAAAATTCAAAGATTGCATTGCATTTTTTACGTCGTAATATAAAACTTTATATGCAATAATATCGCTCGTGCTAATCTACTTAAGAAGCCATGAAGCACCTATACCAGATTCGTCGTTTTTCACTATAGAAAAGTTAAACTGCTTTATAATGTAATGTTGGGAAAGAAAAAGGGTTTAAAAGAAAATCGACTTTAGAAATCACAAGGGAGATAGGATAAGACACGGCGAAATACGAGCTCCCGCCTAGAAGACTGCAAGTCAAATAACACTATAATGCAGTATTGAATTACTGCAGTTAAGTTGCCAGCGCGCAACCCAAAGTAGGGAATATGACTCTTATCTACGTCCTAGGTTTTGGTGGGTACAATTTTTGATGGAGTAGGTACTTTGATAAGCCTATAAAAAAACAGGAAAGGTGAATTTATGCCGTGGCAGGTTTGAGATGCTGTTAAAAACTAGACTTTATTATATCTATGTTTGTGCGATGTACACTGTTACCAACTAAGGGGTATCCCCACAAATTAAGGCAGAATAAAAAGGGTGGTATTCGGGGTATTAAATTCATTCCTATGTATTTGTTTTAGTAAGATAATATTTAACATTACAAAAACTATTCTGTGGACCGATTATTAAGTACAACCCCCACTTGCCAACATTTTTAGGTAACACTGAAACAAGGAGTATTTAAAGGGTATTATTTACTTTAACTTTAAGGGTAAACATGTTTGGGAGTTGGTAACTCAGTCTGTATTTTATATTCAAACTCTTTCTAAAGTTCATGACCTCACGTACCTATTATCCCATACATGAACTATTTCGTTCAATTACGTTAATAGTTACGAGTAAAGCATTTAACAACATCAATATCAAAGTTTTTGCTATCATAATTGACTAGGGTTGATCGAAAGTCTGAAATAGCTAGAGGGATGCGAACCCCTCGTTACCATCAAAAAACAAGTCATAAAATAGTTTTACACAAAACTTATAGAATAAATAAATAAATATTTCCAACACACACCAATTAGCCTAGCCCCAAAGTAAACACTATAAGGTTTGTCTTATGGGATGCTAGGGTAACGGATAGAATACATATACTGTACATATAAAAGTATATTTATATAGAAATACATACATACAATACTCGTTGTGACATTGTTTCGTTTACACTGCATAGACAACGAGTATCTTTACAAGTATAAATTCACTATTTACTTCGCATATTTTGTGAATCCAACAAGTTTGTACAAATATTGTATACTACAAGTTTAAGAGTGGGAGCTCACGATGCGTTGCGGAGGCGGTGCGGCGCCGGAGCGGTGTCGCTGCGTCTTCTTACATAGAAATATCTGTGGCATGTCACACGATGCGCTCCGGCGCCGCACCGGACTTGCAACCACCGAGACGAGGCGGAGAGTGGTGAATGCGTTGCAACGTCGCGTCGGAGCGGCACCGCTCAGTTGTTTATGCGTCATAGAGAATGTATGTTGCTGGGTTGCCCGCGGCACCGCTGCGACGTAACAACGTTACGGCGCCGCACCGCTCGTGTGCCCACCGTTGCGGCGAAATCTTTGCGGTGCGGCGCAGCAACGCATCGTGTGCTCGCGCACTTATACGTGTATAAAAATGTGAACAAAAAATTAAGATTAAATTTATTATATACATGTATAATACCTTGGTGTAAACGAGGAGGTTAGAAGGCATAGGATCAAGAAGCAAAAGGGACTCGCACATTGCAAAAGAATATAAGTTTTACATGTCAACCAACATAAAACCCTTTTTTCTTTTCCATGATTCATGCTTGATTAGGGTTGATCGAAAGTCTTAAATGGCTAGCGGAATGCTTGGAAGAGGTAGCGCTGGATCAAGAAGCCGAAGGTTACGACCCAACCGCAGAAGGAACACCCCTTGTGCCTATTTCAAGCGAATCCGTCGACGCTATGGAAGACGAATTATTTCAGCGTGTACTGAAAGGAGTAGGAGTCGCACCGCCCTGCGATGAACAAGTAAGATAACTCATTACCAGCCTATAAATGTCCCCACTGCTGGGGCACAGGCCTTTCTTAGGGATGGAATAAGGAAATTGGGCCGTGTCACGCAGGCCCAGTGCGGATTGGTGGGTGCTAATTACTGCAGATGCAACCGAGAGCAACGACTCGCCGTGTCTTCCGAAGCACGGAGGAGCTCGAGGTATAAAGTTTTTGCCACCCTTCCCATGACCGGCCGTTCCGAAAGTTTCTTAACTTCCTCGATTGCAAGCCGAACGCACTAACCACCTGAGCCATCGAGCTCTTCATGATGTTATATGTTAATTATTTTAAGATTACTAGCTGTCCAGTGCACTTCGTACCGCCATAAAAAAATAGGGGTTGGTGGTAGATGGGTGAAATTTTTTTTCTTTGTATCATGTACCTATCATAAAAAAAAAACAAAAAAAAATTGTCCAACAAAATTAAGGGTGAACCACCCTTAACATTTAGGGGGATGAAATATAGATGTTGTCCGATTCTCAGATCTACTGAATATGCATATAAAATTTCACGAAAATCGATCAAGCCGTTTCGGAGTAGGTAGTTCAATTACGTTATTGACACGACAATTTTATATATTAGATAGATAACTCATATTGTTATTTTAAGCATTAAACTAATATATTTATAAACCTCATAATTTGAGGAGCTCGATGGCGCAGATGGTTAGCGCGTTCGGCTGCGATCGTTGAAGTTAAGCAACTTTCACAGTAGTCGGTCATTGGATGGGTGACCAAAAATCTTCTATCTCGAGTTCCTCCGTGCTTCGGAAGGCACGTTAAGCAGTTGGTCCCGGCTGCATCTGTAGTCGTTAGTACCCGCCAATCCGCACTGGGCCCGCGTGGTGGGTCATGGCCCTATCTCCCTATTCCATCCATAGGGAAGGCCTGTGCCCCAGCAGTGGGGGCATTAATAAACTGATGATGATGATGATGATTTATAAACCTAAAGAAAATTTACTAGAAATAAATTTAACTCGGTCCAGTTATCAGACAGAATCTTTAGAAATAAGATAACTAACTCCCCGATCTCGGCGGCTCACCGTATCTCATTAATATGTATTTATTTACGTAATGAACAGTCTGAAATAAATTGATTTCGTGATCTGCAACGTTTGCGGATATAACGATTTCGATTATATGCTACTAAGGCCGCGTTGTTTCATCGATAGTTTAATTTGACTCTAGCTTAATCCTATAGAAAAAATAACCATTTGTCAAAATTTAACATAAAACCTAAGGCCGCTTTGTTTCATCCATAGTTAAAAAAATAAAATAGTTAAATATTTGTCTCATTTACTATGTTTTTGACTTGATATTAACTATGTGTACGTAGATAATATGAAATCAAATATATAGGAGGAGCTCGATGGCGCAAGTGGTGAGCGCGTTCGGCTGCGATCGTTGAAGTTAAGCAACTTTCGCAGTGGTCGGTCATTGGATGGGTGACCAAAAATTTACTATCTCTAGTAGGAACTATAAGCACGGAGGACCGTGCTTCGGAAGGCACGTTAAGCCATTGGTCCCGGCTGCATCTGCAGTCGTTAGCACCCGCCAATCCGCACTGGGCCCGCGTGGTGGGTCATGGGCCAATCTCCCTATTCCATCCATAGGGGAGGCCTGTGCCCCAGCAGTGGGGACATTAATAGGCTGATGATGATGATGATGACGTAGATAAAATAATTTGTATCCCATAACATTTTCAAACTCGTCTTTGTTTTACAAGAAAAAGTAGTCTATAATTTATCTCCAAGCCTGCATACATTACTAAAGGATTAGCCGTTTAGGCAAGACTAATAATTGAGATAGAATTCCTTTTAAGTTATATTATTAGTAAGGATAAAATGTATTCTGTGTAATGACAACAATGTATGTTAATTCTCGTTTTAATATATTTATTTTAAATTCAATCCAACGATTTAATGTTTGATAAGTATTACATTTTACGTGTACCCTAACCGAGAACCGCATCTTAAACGAGGCAAGTCGTAAACTTTACGGTAACATAAATTTCGCAGTTAATGGATTTTCGCGCGTTTTTAGGACTTAATCTGTCTTTGATATAAACAAAAGTGTATGAAAATGGCCTCGTTTCTTTATCATTAAAGTTAATTAAACGTTCTTTCCAGTATACTAAGTTGTTATGCCGGTAACGAAATTAATTATAGAGCGTTATTATTAACCGTGATATTATTAGAAATCGGTGTTTTTACTTAAAGCTTTAACTAGATATTTGTTGTCCCTAATATAATATGATACCGAAGACCTCACTGGCAACGTTTGGTCTACAATGTGAAGATTCATCAACTTTCTGAGTGAATTAAAAAAATATAGGCTATTTTCACATTTTTTTTTTGTTTTGTAACAAATTTACAAACGCTAAAACGTTTCTCTAGCAAATAAGCCGTCTTACAAGCAGGTGAAGTCACGCGGCACTTGTTAAAACGTCAAACACTACAAAGTAATGTCACTTCGCGTGCATGTTTACTTTACAAGCATTCAAAGCCCCGCCTAGGCATTTTCTTCCACGTGACAATAGATATAAAAATACTTTTCTATTTCACGAGTTTTAGTTATATTATCAACTACTTTTTAAATGCTTCCAACATTCATGTTAAATACACATGCCAATAATTGGTTCTACCAATCAATACGCAAATTTGGAAATTTGAGAACAAGAACTCTACCCGATTGATGGCACTACAGTGAGGTTTATCGATATTTTTATCGGACAGGAAAATGTCTGTCAAGGCCGCCTATCACTTTTGATATCATATTATTACTTTCAGGAATCATATTGGAGGATACCCAGCGACTTACATTTCAATACCATCAGAAAGAGACGTGAAATAATCATAAAAGCGATAAACAAAGAACTCATAATAGATTCCTCAATATCTATATCAGAGCCGAACATAGAAAGCGCTATTATAGAAACTGGCAAATATTTAAACGACAATGAAGATACTAGCGACGACGATGACTTGTTCGATAACTTGAGAAAACTGCGCGATACTAACTCGGATAACTACACAAACAATAAGAGCAATGAAAGTTTAACTAAAAGTTTTAACGTGAAACGTAACAAACGCAGCCGTAGCGTCGATCCTGATGAAAAGAACGGCAGAGAAAAAATGCAGAAGATAGAAGAAGCAGATGAAGTTGATAGTGAAAAAGATGATGGGGATGAAAATGATGATGAAGATATTCTCTCGTTCGCGAAGAAAACTTTGCAGCACGAAGATTTGCCCGATACTGAGGATATTTTGAATGGAATCCCAAGAATCGCAGATGGTATGCATTCTTTTTTTAAATTATTATCAAAAAGCATTTATCATTGTTAAAACGTTTAAACCGATCTGTGTTAATACCTATATCGTCTGAATTGTAATTAATACCCGCTAATTCCGTTCCTTTCATTCATGGTCAAATATAATATTAAAGTACTGAAAATCTTATTTAAAATCTAATCTCTAATCTAATCTTCTAAAAGTCTTTATTTTCGTAAAATAACTCTTTTTGTAGTCTTTTATCTTTTAAAATCTGAATTTTACCATACTACCTATCTTTAATCAGTATACCAGTAAATGAATAATGTAATCAGTGGTCCTTTGTGTGGCCTATATTGTATTTACAATTTTGTCATCTCCCGTGATCCTCGTTTCGTTATCCGTTATAAAGTCAACAGACGCCTTTGTTAACAGCGTTTCAACATTTTAATTTTAACCGACTTCAAAAAATAGGAGCTGCTCGCGTCAGTATTTTTCTTTATTTTCTATGTTATATGATGATTGATCTTGCTGCCCAATTTGCTCTAAATGTAAACAGATCATATATAAAATTCTTTGTTTCCAGATGACAGTGATAAAGAAGATGCCGATATCGTTTTACCGACGAGGCGTGATAAAAGACGTCGAATTGTGATTGATGATGATTCCGATTAGCCGATCGATCATATGGAATATGTTAATAAAAGCATTGTATCGTACTGAAATACTTGTGTTTTTCTTTACACGTGACCTTATACGAACTTACGTTAACATTACGACGACCCTTAAACGAACTTACTTACTTTTCTGCCAATGTAATCTTACATACATACTATATAATGCCAGTGAATCAATTATCTGTTTATTTTACTCATATTTGTATTTTTAACTTTTGTATTTCTACCTACAAAATTTATCATCACACTAGTTTCGTACCCCAAGCACGGACTTTGACAGATTCTTATTCGTATCGCCTTGTCCAAGTTTCTATGGAAACTAAGCGACGCCCCAACCGGACGCAAGAGAACAAACTAGCTCTTTCCATAGAAACTTTGACGATGGCGATACGAATACTTTCTTGCTACTTGTTCGCGCTTGGGGTACTGAAATTAAAAATAACACCATGAGACAGACAAAGGAAGTTGAAACGATTTCATACGAAAATGGGCCCCAATTGTATCAATATGAAATGAAATAAAATTACACTTTATTCAAACTGATTTATTGAAAGCCCTTTTGAATCGGCCAATATTTTTCCTACCACTCATTCAGGACAACTTTTAGCTTATGAGAAGAACGGGCGCAAGAAACTCATCAGTATTTAACAGAAGTAGCAACATTTACATAAAATCATTTCACTACCAATACAACGTCCACACACGGTGTCATATAGTATAAATACAAATAGTGTTATTTATATTAAGTATAACTAGATAACATTTCGACAATAAAGTATTTAGTGCAGTCACATTTCTGCTGCAGCATCCGTTCACGAGCATGACCCATGAATCAATCATCGCTTCGCTCAACCATATTTAAGGATACTTAGCGACCCGCCTTACACGACATGTAAATAGTGTCAATTAAAATATAAAATTTTATTAGTCACTATCTTCACTAAAAATTCTATGACTTTTGCCAGTTTGAGAGCAGAGTTATCAGTGGCTTTAATTAAACGTATGGTTACGAAACCTACACTAACTGAAATGAGTATACAGATTGCTGTTACTTTTATTACATAGATACTTTAAGTTGCATAACCCAGCTTACATAGCACTCTACTAACGATCCATGATGTCATTAGCCAATCAAAAACTTCAATCTCCACTGTCAATAAATAAGTCATTCAAGTTGAGCAAAGTCATAATCCGTAAAAACAATGCAGCCGTCGTCGTAGTGGTATAAAACCGAAATAAAACAGTTCCAAAAGCAGTCAAACAAAATGCACAACGTGAAAACTTTATTTTATGAGAAATATGAAATCGGAATATTTTGGCATTCTTTTTCTATTTTAGCGCTGTCTAAAACACTTTTTAGACCAAATCCAACTTTGTTATATTTAGGCCTATGATTTTACTTTTTCTTTAGTATATCACACTCCAAACGAAATCATAAACTTTAATTCTTATATTTAATTATATTAACAATGTTTTAAAGTTACTGAAAAACCATAGAAATAAACATAATTACAGAAGGACTGTATCAATTTCTTAGAGACTATATTTATTTACAGTACTAACCGAGACTCCTGTTACTGAACAAATATATTTATCGCGTCGTATATATTTATCTTATTACATCACGTAGGTATAGAAATTCCAATATCATTCCGTTATCGAATGGCAATATACTCGTATAGTGCGCTCTCTGCTGGCATTCTCTATCCAATGCAGGGTCTGTGTGTTCTAGTATGGGGCGGTATTGCAAATATTGTACAATATAAACAACTGGTAAATGGAAATAACATTCTATTTTTTTATGCGAATGAAAAACAAACAAACTGTTTATAATATTAGTAGCTTTATAATATTAGTATAGATACTCGTATGTCGACTTAACTTATCTGACAACAAGAATAGAACTTACTGGCTGATTTACATTGCAAAGTTTTTAGATCCAGTATTTAACTGCCCTTACAATGGATAAACTTCTGCTGCTGGACTGAAACGAAAAAATTAGTCAGAACTGGCATACCAGTGAGCTTGGAGCCCGCTACTGTATCAATGTGAATCTGCCAATGGTATAAAGGGCATACTTCAAATTCAAGCCGTATCTATGCAAATGAAGGCACCCTAATTACCTACCAAAGCAAACTGTCTTTGACGGGTTTTTAATTTACCGCATTATTTTTTTCCTTAAGAAAAGCCGATGGCGGCACAGGAAAGATTTAAAGAGGATGATTTGTTTTTTAATGCAGTAGCACTTTTCAGTGTGTACACTACACTCTATCCATTATTCTCGAACAAGCAAGTTGCTTGTACCGCTATCTAGGTAGAGAGCATTTCCATGTTCGCCAAAGGAAGTCCTATTTCCGACCTTTTGCTTATCTAAGGCTTAAATTTAACACAAGACAAGCCATAAAACTAATTAAATAAAATCCTCTTTATGCCTATAGCTACTTAGCCGCCCATAGCTACGTATACTTCACTGGTGAAGATTAATTTCGTAGGGCGTTCACTAAATCTTTTCACTCAGCATCAGATTAGCACCCTCGAACCTTCCCCTAAATGTATCGTTGTTTTTCTAACATTATCTCAACATTGTAAACAGGGCAACCGAAAATGGGGCGGGAGTTCTACCTGAAATAACATTTTCATCTAATGATTTGCATACTTGTATACTTATAAGCCTATAGAGATGGTACTATATTAGCTGAAATCCATATAGGATCTTTTCCTCCGCGGTGAATATTTATTTTCTATAATATAATGCAAATAAATTAGTTAGTACCTTTGTAAAGTTTTAAATTATTGTTTACTTTCTACCAAATGCCAAATTCAAATTAAATAGGATTAACTGTCTAATTGGTTTTATATGATGAAGGCTTTGCTTTAAAATGGATTCACCGTTTTATAATTCAGTTAGTCAACTTTAATCACAACTTAAGACAATTTCTGTAACGTTTCAGTCAATCTTAATTATGGTTTACCTACTTGTTTATAATAAGTACCTATGTTTATTTATTCAATTAGTAAACTTCCTTCTATGTGATTACATAGAATCTAAACTTGATGATACTATTATCTTGTTACTTTATATTTCTGGTTAGTTCACATTGAAATTCTATGCATTAAGAAGTGTACGTAAGTAATAAAAGATATTGCAAGTCCAGATTTCGTTACGTGAAATGAACCTCATTTTCGGCTTCAGAAGCAGTTTGAGCAAATGTTGTGAGAAATTCCAACTTGTAAGTAGAATTTAGAATTAGATGTACTAGGTAAACCTATGCATAATATATAGGGTTTTCCAATAAGGACCGGGTGCGTTTAAATTCGATTAAAAAATGATTGTTTACAATAACATTAAATTAGATTTTTTAGGAGCTTACTCCTTGTTTTTTTTTTGTGGAATTACATCGTTTAAATTATCACCTCAGCTTGGTATCCTGAGTTCAGTTTTAGATAAGATTACCTCTACACAATTATTATGTTTTTAAAAATTCGATGTTTATACCGATGTGCACGCAAAAGCGATGTATAATGTATACGTAAGTTAGTATGTTTCAAGTATAGGTATTTATTGCCAGATCAGAAAAATACTCTACGGGGAATGTGTTAGCTTCCGAAAACAGCTTTATTCACAAAACGTGTCTAAAGATAATCCTGCTTTTCACAGAAGTTGCCACCTACATGATTCTGTAGAAATACCTTTTATACTACACCTGCTCGGAAAAAGCTTTATTCTTATTATAAAAATGAACAAGAAAGGACCTTATTACTGTTGTACTACTAAGCGGGCAGAAAAGTATGGAAATTCATTAATACAATCATACCACGATTAGTCTGCAGTAGACTGACATTAGCAAAAATCAAACTTCATATGGCAGTACTGATTATAGTTTAATTAACTTTCTCTGATACTTTTTATTACTAAGCGACTTAAAAAGAAGGAAGTTCTTTATTATATATATATATATATAATATTCCGTAAAAAGGGTAAAACGAAGCCCTATTGCTGAAATTCTGTCGTCTATCTGTCCGTATGCCACGGGTCTATAGATCGTAAACGGAATGAGTTACAGATCACAGCCGAATTTTCAGTTCAAAATTCAATTAAATTTATTTTTATTAGGGGGTCTCATACTCGTGATACGTCATTGTTCTTTATTGTCATTATTTCATAACTCAGTGATATTAGGTAGCTCCAATAACAGGAATTTTTCACTGCATGGAACCCTAATAAAGCGATACTAGACTCGCGCTTAGCAAGGTTTTTTGTTTAAATAAGTGCTTTGGTGAGATTGTCCATGTATCGCCATGACTAAAAAATGAGGTTCTCTCTTTGAAAGCAGCACAAAGAGCGGAATAGCGGAAATTAACAGATTAAATTTCCGAAATTTAGAAATTGATGCGGGATCAAAGAACCGATTCTAAATTTATTGATAGCTTCATTCGCTCCGATTATCACTTCCTTTTTTAGTAATAAAAAAAATCCACAAAAAATTTATTCCCAAAGTCCTAATCGGGGAAAAAACCTTAACGAGCCGAAACTGCGAAGCGTTTCATTTGTAGGAGTTTAAGCTGTCTGTCAATAGTACTTAAGTAACGCCCTCCAGCATTAAAACATCACTCGGCAAAGCCACGCCTCTCAGAATGTATTATTCACTGGCAACCAAAAAAAAAAGCACAAACGATCGTTTCATCGCGCAATCCCGCGGGCAATCGAGTATTTCTTATTCAAATGTTCAGTCAGCTATTTTAATGTTCCAACACAGCACGTCATCAATCTTTGCCGAGGCCGAACGTGGCCCATTACGACCGCCCCCTTGCAATTATCCACTCGAATAAAAACGTTTTAAGTGTTAAATTAACGATATCTCAGCGGGACGAGAGCTTGTCTGACTAAGTGATTAATTCCAGTCCTTAAGAACTGATAGTGAAGCGCTCTTTGTGCTGCTTTCAAAGAGAGAACCTCATTTTTTAGTCTAGGCGATACATTCCAGATGTCTTGCTTAATTCAATTGACTTAAGACCCCCCTATGTTTGGTTTTTGGAATTTTGAGTTT